GTGACTTTAAGAAGAGCATAAAGAAACACATAAAGTTTGCATATAGTAATTACAAATAAGTTTGAAAATTTTAGAAAGGAAGGGAAATACATAAATGATTTTGAAAGAGAAGAATTAGTGGGAGAAAATACAAATTTAAGAAGCATTAGACAGATGAAGAAAAGGAAAAGGGTCATAGGTTTAAATACAATATGGATCACATCGGTACAATACCCCGCATACACTCCTCAGAAGAGGGGTCACCTATGATATTAGCGCACCGATTATTATCTCTATATTCTACCCTTCCCTCCCCGTTAAGTTATTTAAATATGACCAGTCTCATGACATATTACATGCTATTACCCGTCCCAACCTATCAGTCCCTGGGTATTAGGACTTCTAATCCTAAAGGGGAAGAAAAGGGATAGAGGCATATATGAATTTTAAAAGGACAAAATCCTAAAACGACAATCAAAACAAATAGCAGACAATGGGGCAGAAACAAACACACAAAAGCTCATATAAAACCCTGTAAATCAGATAACACTTAGTTTAGCATGCCTTTGCACATACTAGTTTGGTCTTAATTAAAATTTAAGCGGCGGACAGACCAGTTTAACACATAGAATTAGATAAAAGGTCTGCATTAGGCAACACGGATTCAATTTTCAGGAATTGAATTATTTTAGACAGGTTATACAGAAAACACTGATTTCAGACAAGAGCCTAATGCAGAAGAGTGTAGATACAGAAGATTGAAAATTGCAGAAGTTTAGAGATGACTTTAAAATCAACAGGTTTGTTTAGGTTAACACATAGTAGAGCTGTAAAGGAGAGTTTTCGAAAATGAGAATGCTTTAAAAGAAAGGGTGAGTTAAAAAGACTGTTTTGATAGATAGCTTTGAGCGACAAATAAAAATTCAGGCAGAAGGTTGAAAGGATCAGTTTCGGAATAAAGATGCAGGTTTAGAAAATGTAGTAACATTACGGACTTGTAAGAATTTCAAAAACAAACAAATTTGCACGAGTTTTTGTTGAAAACATTGGAAGCCGATTGACAGATTATTAAACACATTAGGCGAGTCTGAGTTCCTATAGGCATGATATCTAGATCTTGATTTTTAGGACTTGTTACTATTATTAAACCGACAAGGGAATGTTTATTTGATTACCGTACAGTATGCTTAGCGTTCATGCACTTCCTATAGACATGGTTTCTAGATGCAACTTATTATATGAATATTAGGTCATATAGGCAGGATTACAGGCAAATGGCATGCTTTCCCATACACTAGCTTATATGGAGAAGCCCCGATGGGGGTTTCGAAGGCTGTTCTGTACGCCCACAGTGCATCTTTAAGTTTAGAGGACCAATCCTTCCTATTAGTATTGACTGTCTTTTCTAGGATTTGTTTGATCTCTCTATTACACACTTCAACTTGACCACTTGTTTGAGGATGGTATGCAGTGGCCACTTTATGTCTAATCCCATATTTGGACAAGACAGTTTTCAGCAGTTTATTACAAAGGTGTGCTCCTCCATCGCTTATTAGCACCCTAGGGGTCCCGAAACGTGTGAAGATATTTTTCTTTACAAAATTCACCACCACTTTTGCATCGTTTGTAGGAAGGGCAATGACCTCTACCCACTTTGATACATAATCCACTGCAACAAGAATATACATCTGTCCGTTAGAACATGGAAATGGCCCCATGAAATCGATTCCCCACACATCAAATAGTTCTACAATCAGAATATTTTGCAAAGGCATCTCGTTCTTTCTTGTGATTGTCCCTGTTCTTTGGCACCTGTCACAATTTTTAACAAAAGCATGTGAGTCTTTAAACAACTTTGGCCAGTAGAAACCTGACTGTAGAACTTTTTGTGCTGTTCTGTCTCCCCCATGGTGACCGCCGTAAGGAGAAGCATGACAATCATGTAATATTGCTTGCATCTCAGCCTCAGGGACACATCTTCTCACCAATTGATCTGCGCATTGTCTATAGAGAAAAGGCTCGTCCCACATATAGAATCTTACATCATGTAAGAATCTTCTCCTTTGATCAGCTGTAATTTCTGAAGGAATTACCCCACTTGCAATAAAGTTTACGTAATCTGCGTACCATGGGGTTTCTTCTGAAGTGATAGCTAGCAATTGTTCGTCAGGAAATGTCTCCTTTATTGATTCTCCTTCAACCACATGACCTTGATTCTCCAATCTTGACAAATGATCGGCAATTTGATTTTCTGTGCCTTTTCTGTCACGAATCTCTAAATCAAATTCCTGCAAAAGAAGTACCCATCGAATTAGTCATGGTTTTGCATCTTTCTTTGCAAAGAGATACCGTATGGCAGAGTGGTCTGTGTATACAATGACTTTAGTTCCTACTAAATAGGATCTAAACTTGTCAAATGCCCACACAACTGCAAGCAACTCTTTTTCAGTCACAATATAGTTCAATTGGGCTGGGTTCAGAGTCCTGCTTGCATAATGGATAGAGTAAAAGACTTTATCCTTTCGTTGCCCCAAAACAGCTCCAATGGCTATATCACTAGCATCGCACATTAGCTCAAATGAGAGTTCCCAATTTGGAGCAATGATAACTGGTGCAGTTACCAATCTTCTTTTTAGCTCCTTAAATGCTCTCAGACACGCATCATCAAAGTTGAAGGGTCTATCTTTTTCAAGAAGCCTGCACAATGGAGAAGAAACTTTCGAGAAATCTTTTATAAATCGGTGATAAAAACCAGCATGACCCAGAAAACTACGAATGCCCTTAACATAAATTGGTGGAGGCAATTTTTCAATTGCTTCCACTTTTGCTTTATCAACTTGAAAACCGTCTTTCGACACCTTGTGTCCTAAGACTATGCCTTCACGTACCATAAAGTGGCATTTCTCCCAGTTTAAAACTAAGTTAGTTTCCTCGCATCTAGTAAGCACTTTCTCTAAGTTTTTCAAACAGTCATCAAATGAACATCCGAAAACTGAAAAATCATCCATAAAAACCTCCACAAATTTTTCAACGATGTCAGTAAAAATGGCCATCATACACCGTTGAAAAGTCGCAGGTGCATTGCAAAGACCGAATGGCATTCGTTTGAATGCATACGTGCCATAGGGACATGTAAATGTGGTCTTTTCTTGGTCCTCTGGGGCTATAGTTATTTGATTATATCCAGAGTAACCATCCAAGAAGCAATAATACTCTTGGCCAGCCAATCTATCTAACATTTGGTCGAGAAATGGGAGAGGAAAATGATCTTTACGGGTGGCCTTATTCAATTTTCTGTAATCAATACATATTCTCCACCCTGTTACAGTTCTAGTTGGGATCAAGTCATTGTTCTCATTTACCACAACAGTCATTCCCCCTTTCTTTGGGACACATTGCACTGGGCTAACCCACTTACTGTCAGATATGGGAAAGATTATACCTGCATCAAGCCATTTGATCACCTCCTTCCTTACCACTTCTTTCATATTGGGGTTTAAGCGGCGTTGTTGTTCAATGCTTGATTTGTGTCCTTCTTCCATCAGGATCTTATGCATGCAAAAAGCAGGGCTAATACCTTTGATGTCGGACATTGTCCACCCAATTGCTCTTTTATGCTCCCGCAATACCCGCAGTAATTTTTCCTCCTGCAATTTAGATAAATCAGAAGAAATAATAGCAGGTAAAGTATTAGAATTACCCAAATAAGAATAAAGAAGGTGAGAAGGCAAGGGCTTCAATTCTAATTTTGGAGCTTCTTCGATTGATTGTTTCGGAGGTGGGCTATTTGGCCTGTTTAATGATTCAAAAGGAATGTACCCTCGTAAATATTCACAAGAGACATTCAAAATATGATTCATCTCTTCAACTTCATCATCAATATCAAAACTATCAAGTAACACCATAGCTTTCTCTAAAGAATCTTTCAAGCACACACTAGGGACTGTGAGTCTCTCATCAAATTCCATGACAGAGATCATAGACAATTCTTCATAATGATGAGGAAGTTGCAAAGCTCTATATACATCAAACACCGCTTCCTCAGTGTCTACTCTCATTATCAATTTGCCTTCCCTCACTTTGATTACAGCATCACCTGTGGCTAGAAGAGGTCTTCCTAAAATAATAGGAACATTCTCATCAACTTCAAAATCTAGAATGATAAAATCAGTGAGAAAAATAAATTTCCCAATTTTTAACAGCACATCTTCGATCACTCCTTCTGGATAAGCTATAGAACTGTCCGCCATTTGCAACATAATAGTGGTGGGTTTTGGATCACCCAAACCCAATCGCTTGTATAAGGACAACGGCATCAAGTTGATGCTTGCTCCCAAGTCACAAAGTGCATGGCCTACATCAACATTTCCAATCCTCACCGGTATCGTGAAACTGCCCGGATCCTTAAGCTTTTGAGGAAGCTTATTTTGAACCCTTGAAGTGCACTCCTCAGTAAGTGCAACTGTTTCAAATTCCGTCAATCTCCTTTTGTTTGCAACAATATCCTTCAAATATTTAGCATACCTAGGAATGTCCCGAATCGCATCTACCAATGGAATGTTCAATTGAATTTGATTCAACATAGTAAGAAATTTATTGAACATGCGATCGTCATTCTTTTTCTGCAACCTTTGTGGAAATGGTGGTGGTGGTCTTGGAATGTTCATTTGTGCTGGAACTGTTTCATCTTTCTTTTCCTCTTGAGTTGATTTATGAATTAATTCACCTTCCGGTGTTTGCTTGTTCTTTTTCTTCAATGGAGCATCTTCTAATTCCTTTCCCGTTCTCAACGCGATTGCACTCACTTGAGGATTTTTCTCTGTATCACTTGGGAGAGCACCTGTTGGTCTAGTATTTTGATTAGCCGCCAACTGTCCCATTTGCCTTTCAAGATTTCTAAAGTCCGTTCTGAGTTGTTGATTGTCTTGCAACAATCTTTTCAACAAATCATTTGTGCTTTCATCTCCTTGTGGTGGTGGTCTTTGTGGTTGATTGAAATTTCCTTGGGGTCTAAATTGATTTTAATTTTGTTGATTTCCACCCCAAGAAAAATTTGGATGATTCCTCCAATTTGGATTGTAGTTATTCCCATATTGAGCTTGTTGATTCATTGGACCTCTATTTTGTTGCCCAACAAAATAAATGAATTCCGGATTTACTAGGCATGAATCACTCGTGTGATTTTCACCACATACTTCACAACAAATAGACATTTGTTGTACCTGCTGCATGGGTTGTGATGGTCCCATGGTCATTCTCGTCATCTGATTAGATAACTTTGCTAATTCCGCTCTCATAGCCGAAACTTCATCTAGTTCAAGAACCCCAGCTGCCTTTTGTTTGACTGCCCTCCTTGAATCTCCTTCACCTTGATAATTGTTGTCATTAGCCGTGAAGGTATTTAGCAAAGTTTGAATTTCACTGTAAGGTCTGGCCATACAGCTTCCTCCACATGTTGAATCTAAACTCATTTTGGAAACATCATCCAATCCATCAACAAATGTGTGCCCCAATACCTCGTCAGTTTGGCAGTGATGTGGACAGTCTCTAAGCATCTTTTTGAATCTCTCCCATGCCTGACGAAGTGTTTTGCCAGGTCGTTGTTCGAAAGAAAAAATTTGGCTTCTTAGCACCTTGGTCTTCCTAGTGGGGAAGAACTTGATTAGGAATTTTTTTGCCAAATCATCCCAAGTGCGGATTGAATTTGCAGGCTCTTTGTTTAGCCACTCCTTAGCATCCCCAATCAATGAGAATGAGAATAATGTCAGCCGAACATAATCCTTGGGAACGTTCGGATAGTTGTATGTATCCGTAATTTCCAAGAAATTTTGAACATGCCGTTGTGGATCTTCATGAGGTAAACCCATAAATAACCCAACACTTTGGATCAACTGCACCATGTATTGTTTCAACTCAAAATGCCCAGTTATGTCAGGCTTCACAATAGCCTGAGTCATATTTGCCAAACTGGGCCTTGCGGCTTCAATAACTGCTCGTTCATCATTACCTGCCATCACTCTTGGTTGTTGTTGAACTTGAATGTCCAACTCTCCTTCAGTTCTGTTTCTAAATTCCCACTCTCTCCTTGTCCTATGAATTGTTCGTTCAATTTCAGGATCGAATGGGAAGATGTTTTTTGTGCTTCTGGTTCTTCGCATTAAAGAAAAAAAATCCTGTGAAACACAAACAATGTAGATAGAAATTTTTAATTGTTATTAATACTAATAAAAATCTGAAAATCAATCAAGTAATTAATTTTTAATTCCCCGGCAACGGCGCCAAAAACTTGTTGCGACCAAAACACTCACGCAAGTGTACGCGATCGACAAGTAATATAGTAGTAAATAAAGTATCGTTCCCACGAGGAATTATGATTAACTTCTTGATTGATATTGACTAAAGATGATTACCAATTTATGCACTATTACTACAAATGTTCATTAACCAACTTACAACTTAATCAATAAATGTAGAATAATTCAACACAAGAATACTACGCAAAGTTCACAATATTTTGTTAACAATTTGGATGAATATATTCTCGGGTCATGGACTTATTAGAAACCATGTTACTATATTAGCTTAAGATCGATTACTTGAATTATTCGGATTGTTTATTATAGGGTTAACAATATACATAAGAATCTTTCGAGTCTTTGTGCGTCTATTCAAGTTAACTTAATACCTATATGTCTATGGTATTAATCTTAGCAAGAATGCAT